GGGGGGGGGGGGGGGGCGTTAGACACCGCTAGGTGGATCCGCCCCGTGTAAAAATGGAAAACAGAATACTATAATTGCAAACCTCTTCTAGTAAATCACGATTTTCTTGCGATTTTTTCGCCAAAATCTTCTGATATTTCGTCTTCTCCTTTAACAGCTCGCCCTAAAATTATCAAAAGCATGTCCATCAATACCTGGCTTTCATTAACTGCAGTTTTCTTGCTCAGATAAAACCTGGTTTACACTATCAAAGTTTCTGTGATCACAGTAGGAATTTTGTATGGGTACATTCTAAGTTTTGAAAGATTTGTAAGAAATGTTTTAGAAAGCGAACTTACATAGTGTTAAACACTAAGTCAATTTTCTCAAACATTTCTTACAAATCCTTCAAAACGTAGAATTTACCGATGCAAAATTCCTACTGTGATCACAGAAACTTTGATATTGTAAACCAGACTTACAGTAAGTGTCATTACCTCTAAGTTTTTAACGACTTTCTTGAGGACTCGAATTTCTTTCGCAGTATCAGCGAGACTGGAGTGTTTTACTTCGCGTTGAAATGTGTTATACTCTCGCTCAACATTCTCTTTCTCATTCAGAAGATTGTCCAACCTTAGCAGAGAAAAACGTTTCATTAATTCTAATCAACTACAGTTTACAAGTCTACAGGCCTATAAATACAGCCCTTCAGGTATCCGTTTGAAGTACTGGCTAATAATAATTTCGGAATGGTCAATACTGTTTTACTCTACTGAGGCTCTGGCTACTAATTGATGAGCAAAGCACTTGGAAAGAATGGAAGGTCGAAGCTTCAAGGGCGCTGTGAGTTAAGTGGTGGGCAACGGCTTGCAAGCTTTGTCTATTTGCTATATTGTCCGAGTGCAAGACTGGGCTAAAAATGTCAGCTTGTCATGATTGCAAGTACCCGCAAATTACACACAGCCTCTGCCGAATGGCTGTCAAATGTCTTCTTAGCGCTGGCGAAATTCGCCGTTCGCCGGCCTAAAACAAGATCGGTGCTAAATATATATACTAGTGTATTAATTTGATTTCCGTTCCTGGCAGAAAACCCAAAAACAAAAATTCCATTCAAATATAAAACTTGCCGCACAGACTGTAATAAACTTCAATGTTGGCACATGCAATATTACCATGTCATTAATTGGGTTACTTTGTTACCGCGGCTATAAGGTAAGACTGTTTTCAGGAAACCTTACAGTATAGCCACGTTTTTTTGACGTACTATAAAGTAGTACTGTACGTCTGTTTTTGGCATACCTCAATAAAGCTTTATATCTGGCTTACACTGGAAAATGTTATTTTTGGATTTTGCTGGACAGGAAGAAAATTATATTGTCTAGGTCTGGTCAGAATAAATATGAAAGTAGTTTCTCCAAAGGATGTTCTAGTCATTTCATGTTTGCGTCTGACTTACTGTTTTTGCTTCTTTTCGGCTTGATAACTTTGCGCTTCTTTCGTGAGTTGATTTTTCAAATTCTTTATTTCCTCGTTCAGTTTTCTGTTGATGTCTTGCAGATGAACGGGGTCAGGCTTGCCAACGTACGGCAGGGGAAGCGGATAATGGATCCTAGGGGAAGATTTCACGCTTGCTTTTTATTGAGTCTACTCAGTATGTCATAGAGCTATCCAGTATAACACTGGTGGTAACACTGGATCAACAAGAGATGATCCTTACTGGACTAGGAAGAACAGTTTAGAACTGATAGAGCTATCCAGTATAAATAAAGTTAGTTTAGTTTAGGTTTCTTCCTGTAATAATACTGGATCAATGATAGATTACTTTTACTGGACCTCTACGTTGAACAGTTTAGAGCTGATAGAGCTATCCAGTATAAATAAAGTTAGCCTGATTTAGGTTTCCCCCTGTAGTAACACTGGATCAATAAGAGATGGTCCTTACTGGACTAGGAAGAACAGTTTAGAACTGATAGAGCTATCCAGTATAAATAAAGTTAGTTTAGTTTAGGTTTCTTCCTGTAATAATACTGGATCAATGATAGATTACTTTTACTGGACCTCTACGTTGAACAGTTTAGAGCTGATAGAGCTATCCAGTATAAATAAAGTTAGCCTGATTTAGGTTTCCCCCTGTAGTAACACTGGATCAATAAGAGATGATCCTTACTGGACCTCTAGGAAGAACAGTTTAGAACTGATAGAACTATCCAGTATAAATAAAGTTAGTTTAGTTTAGGTTTCTTCCTGTAATAATACTGGATCAATGATAGATTACTTTTACTGGACCTCTACGTTGAACAGTTTAGAGCTGATAGAGCTATCCAGTATAAATAAAGTTAGTTTAGTTTAGGTTTCCTCCTGTAGTAACACTGGATCAATAAGAGATTATCCTTACTGGACCTCCAGGAAGAACAGTTTAGAACTGATAGAGTTATCCAGTATAAATTTAAGTTAGTTTAGTTTAGGTTAGGTTTCCTCCTGTAGTAACACTGGATCAATAAGAGATGATCCTTACTGGACCTCTAGGAAGAACAGTTTAGAACTGATAGAGCTATCCAGTATAAATAAAGTTAGTTTAATTTAGGTTTCCTCCTGTAGTA